GCGGGCCGCCGGTGCGGGCCCCGGTTGCTGCGCCGCCGGGCCGGCCAGTACGCCGGCCACGCCGGTCCGCGGATTCCGCAGCCGCCTTTCTCCTCCTCTCTCCGCGCTATTTGCAAAAGAATCCAGCTGCGCGGCTGTTTGCCGGGCTCCAGCACCCCCCCGCATTTCCCCACCTCCGTCTGTCTCCTGGGATGATCTTGTCTTCTTTTCCCCACTCCCAGAAAGGTGGGGGGATTGGGGCTGGTGAAAAACCCCCGCCACGGGGGGGAAAAAAAAGGTTGTCACCTAGGAGTGGGAAGAGAAGGATGCGCTCGTAAAACAGTAAAAAAAAAAAAAAAAAAAAAGAGCGAGCGAGAGCCCTGGCAATCTCGTGTCCATCTTTCCATCGCAGGATCTTTCATCTCCCTATCCAAATAAACAAGCAGAGCGCCGTGAAAACCCACCGGCGGTAATCGCGTGGATTTCCAGCAAGTGGCGGGGCGGGCAAAGTCAGGCAGCGGGGCAGAGACGCAGCCGCTTCCAGCGCCCGGGTTGGGTGTATTTCGACCAGGAAAAAAGCGAGCGCGAGCGGGCCAGGTGCCCTGTTTGCAAGGAGCCCGGGCCCGGCACAGCCGCGCGGGGAAGCTAGGCGCGCGGCGCTCCCCTCCGTCGCAGCCCGCGGGGCCGCTGCACAGCCGCGCAAGCCTTTCCCTGTTGTCCTGCTCTCGCGGTGCCTGCCTGGGTCGCCGTTGCCTTTATATATATTTTATTGCAATAGAAATAAAACATCCTCTGGGTGCGTCGAGGTTGTGTGCTTGCAAGTCCTCCGCGCGCCTCGCCGGGCTGGGGCCGGGCTGCCCGCGCGGAGCTGGAGAGGGCTGCGCGCCCAGCCGCCGCCGAGGACTGGCTGCAAGGCGGCCGAGAGCCGAATATTTATGTTATATTTTAAAAAATTTAAATAAATAAATAAATATATAAAGGGGTTCTCCCCCTCCCTGAAAACCCGGCATAGGGGCCATCTGCTCGGCGCATTTGCTGTTGCCGTATCTCTTCTTTGTTACAGCAGAGACGTTAGTAAGAATTTGTGGATTTATTATTTTTTTTGGCGGGGGGGGGGATAGATATTAAAGTGGGCTTTGGCTTGGGAGGAGGGGGATGGCTTTTTGGAGTAGGGAAGAGTAGTTCGCGTTTATGATTATTATTTTATGCTATCGTAGACTCGGCTGGTTGTATTTGAAACAAAATATTTTGCAACCAGATTGGAGATTCGATCAAGGTCTCTTTCTCTAGTTGGCATTTCGTTCCTCTACCGAGCCGGCCATCGCTCATCCTGCCCCCCTTTTTTTTAGATGGTGGGGTGGTGGTTAAAACGTCTATACTTGCAGGCGCCTAATTTCTCCAGGAGGCAGTTTGCCCCACTAGCCTCAGTATTATTGCAAGCGTTGTTTTTTGAGGAGGGGGGAGTGGGGGATGGAGAAGGGGAGTCGCTGGGGGGGTGCATTGCCAGGCGGGCTGCGTGGCAGGAGCCAGGGGAGATTGCAGTTGTGTGTGAGGGGAAGAAGCAGGTAGGTTTGCGGTGCATTTGCTCTCTCCTCGCCCAGCGTTCCTGGGACAGCAGGAGAAATCCCTGGCCACCAGCAAAGGACCGGCTGTAGCTGGGCATGGGGGGGCGAGCACTGCCCGTGGAGCGCACCTCCACCCTTCATTTGTCCCGCGTCTCTCTCAGCCTGCCTACTCCTGGCGCTGGGGACAGCTGGCTGACACCGGAGCGGTGTGGCAGGCTGGAGAAAAGAGGGGCAAGGGACAGAGGGCCAAGGAAATCTCGCCTGCCTTCCAGGAGCGCCCGGAGCCGTGGCATGGCCAGGGACTTTGAGCAAGGACAGTAGGCCAACCAGTTTTCAGACAAGGCTGTTTATTACCCAAAAGCAGCTGGTTTTTGCTCCGTCGTGCCTTCACCCAGGAGTGGGAGCCCAGGCCGGGAAAGGCAAGAGTCTGATGGGATGCAGTTTTCAGCTGCTTGGCCTGCAGAAGTGCCTTCCAGGCCGCTGATGGTTTTAGGGTGCTCTGGAGACCTGGCAAGCAAGATGGGTGCTGTGCCAGCCCCCGCGCCCCCAGGTTCATGGTTTAGATGGGAAATGTGCAAGCAAACGCCTAAAACGTGGTGCATCTCTGTCAGCTGGGTGGCAGCCCTCCGGCTGGGGAACAGCAGCCTCAGGTTCTGCAGGGATGATGCACTTCGGGTAACTGATGGCTGGGAAGGGCAGCGCGCAAACAGCATTGCTAATCTTTGTCCTGGGCCCGGACGAGCTGCTTACATTTACAGGCAGGGCCAGCGAGAGTGGGGTGAGCTCTAAAAGGGAGAGTTTGTGAGACAGCTGGGGATGCTGACCTGGACTTCTGGTTTGTTTCAAAATGCTTGACCCAGATGGTTATGGCTTTTAAAACTGGAGGACAGACACAGCTATTAATAAAAACAAACACAAGGCAACCGTGACAATAGGGACCAGGGGGAAGGGAAGGGGTAACAACTGGCCAAGCAGAGGGAAGGCCTGCTCGGGGAGAGGGAGATGAACCCCCCCAGGGAAGGCGACAGCTCTGTTGCTTTCGGACGAAAATAAGATGTTCGCGGGAAATCACACAGCCCCAATTAAGGTGATTTTTCGACAACCCACCAACAGGTTTCCTTAGAAGATTAGTAATTTTTTGAATGAATTCACGATTTTGAACAACAACCCCGAGACTCAAGGTTTGAGGCGTAAGTTGGGCTAACTGTTAATTCCACGGTTGGCTTTTAAATTAGGTTTTGCGGTAGCTGTGTGATCTGAAGGTGGCTGTGATCGCAATTAGCTTAGCTCTCCAGGGTATATCGATAGTATATCCCCAGTTGCCCACATAGCTTTCAAAATAGGGTCTCTGATACATTTCATAGGACTTGGGCTCTCTCTCTTTTCTTTTCTTTTTTTGGTGGTTGTTGGGGGGAGTATAGTTTGTCTCCTGCACAGAAGGGAACCCCGTATCATTAGAAGTGTGATACAAGTCAGCTGCTCTGATCCCACGGGAGAAGAAAAATGTGTTCATCAAAGGTGTTATGCCAGGTGGATTTTATTCATTTGTAAGTCACACCTGAGAGAAAATAGCCGTGAGCACATTTTAACAACCCCTAATATTTTTAAAGGGTATATATATATTTTCTCTCTTTGAATATTATGCATATTTCTTTCTTTGGAGGGGGGCGTTGATGTCTGTCCTGTGTTTTGGCCTCGGTGATTTTTGTCTGGCCGTTCGTGGTATTTTGTAACATCAAACTCATTGTGTGTCAAGTCCTGGGTGGCTGCAGTTGTTTTTGTGAAGCCGGCCTTAGGAGTATGGAGGGCGGCTGGGGATGGGTGGTTGGGATAGTGCGGAGTGGGAGGTTGGCTCACGGGGTGCAGGACTGACCATGTGTTACTTGACCGAAGGGAAGGCCAGCTTTGGGTACGTTTGACAATGATTAGAATTATGTCTCAGGTGAGATGCAGACATGTCACAGTCTGCTTATTGATCGCAGAGAGCACGCAGGTTTCCAGCGCCTTCTCTGAATTGAACTCTTGGCGCTGGCTTTTTGCACCAGCTTTCTCTTTCCTCCTTTCATTGCCTATCTCGATTGCTTTGCGTTGTCTGTTGCTTGTTGTGATAAAATACTTTCCAAAATAAACTTTCAGTTGAATTGGCTTTTGGTGGATGGCAAGGCTGGGCCGCTGCGCGGCGCCTGGAGCCGACTTGGCCGCTAGGGGGCGCTGGGTGCCCGTATCATGCTGGTGCTGCCGCTGCCCTGGGCTGCCATCGGCGGCGGCAGTTTACATTGCTGCAGAGTGTCTTAAGTGTGAAGTTGTAATATTGATTTTCCTGCAGAGAGTCGTGCCGGACAGAATGAGAATATAAGTTTGAGAAATCTATTTTCAAGCGGTCGCCATTGATTGACAAGCCCACATTGGGCAGATGGGGGCATTTTTCTTTTTTAAAATTATTTATTTTTGTAACAATTAGAATGGTTCGTTTTGCACGGGCGTGTTTCCCCCATTCATCTGCAGTCTTGAATTCCTGAAAATTCGGTTTGCTGTTCGGGCTGTCACGGTCGCCCGGAGCTCTGTGAAGAGCGTCCGTTATTCTGGGCAAGGCTGTCCGTTCTGCCTTGCATGTCATGGACCCGAGAACAGCCGAGAACCGCTGCTTCCTGGAGTCGGCTACCGCAAACAGCTTGACGAATGGCAATCCTTTTCTCGGTTTTATAACCTGGGATTCTCAGTTC